GTAGGCACCTCGGAATGATTGTGGTAAGCTAGCACTAAGTCCCTTCCCCGTCCACCTTTACTCTTTTCTTTACAATAAGGCTTTCAAATAAATCATGGTTGTACGGCAGTGAAACATCGATGTTGAACACTGATGTCATGCTGTTGTTGATGATGATGATGAATCACGTTCTGTGGCGCGGAGTCATGCGCACATATGCTTCTAAGAGAAGGGTTCAAGCTTATTTTTATGGATGAAAGGGACGAGAAACCTCGTGAACCGAGGGCTAGTAAGGAGGGCAACACATCACCAGTATTTAGATGGAAAACAACCAATGGTGTGCGCTATTCTCTACAAATAATTGAAGTATGGCGTCATTGCAACATTCGCAAACTAAACTTTTGGAAAACCATGCACATCATTATACTATACTCACACACACACTTTCATGTGAGATTTGAGATACGCAAAAATACTATGCATGGATTCCTGACACTTCGTTAAAGTCGTGCATCTCTATAATCCATACAGTGTCGGTCTTGTTCTTAATCACGATGGCTCCGTATAACCTGCACAGAGGCAGTTGCTGTTTGTACCAAGCGGCGACTGAACAACTGAGAAACCCGAATTACATGTACAAGCAAAAGTTGATACAAATGTACATCAAGAAATTATGTAGAATCAACGTCTAAACAATCTAGAAGGATATATATACCTGAAGCTTGGGCAAGCAGAACAGCATAGGAAGGCATATTTAGTCAAGAAGCGTCCAATAAATTATATTGGACCTGACTCGATTTCCAACATAATTTCTCAGTAAGCGCTGATGGTTCTCTTCCCCCCCCCCATGCATTTGTCTTCGGATCACGGTACCCTCCATCTGCTCTTTACAAAAAGCTTCGTGAAGCCCTCGCATTCGGGTAAACGGTACTGCAGTGTTTACATTGCATGGTATATGTACAGTTTTTGAAAATACTATGGAGAGTGTCCTAACCCGGTGGTTCCGCAGACAAGTACTACACAGTAATGTCCACGAGTTGTAGAGCTCACACGCTGCCCAATCATGACCGGTGCATCGATCACAACGGCCGCTATTCACACGACCCACGGCTCAGCACACCATAGCACCGATTGTGTCATATCTATCGGGGAGAAATTCATCTATACTCACTTTGTACAACGGGATACTGACCAAGTGCAAAGTCTATTTTCTTCCGGTAGGCTTTCCGAAGAATGACTAGCTTAAGGGGCATTGTGGACTCTAGGATTCCTCCCACTCTACAATTGTTCCATCTTTAGTCGCTCGAGTCACCTGTTCCAGTACACTTTCATATAACTCGAATTGTATAAGTGCTCATTTTTGAGAACACCAATGTACATTTCTTCCTGAAAAAATGGATGTTTTGTTTCCTCATCAGGTTTCGATTTCACGTCCATATAATTAACACTCAAGTCGCAGGAAAGCCTTAAGATCGCGACCCAACAAGAATGTTTTTCCGGGCGAAACAATGAGCACAAAGCAACCGAGCGAACACCTCCCAGCCGCATAAATTTACATGGCACTCCCGGCTTCCCCAGAGTCTACCAAAGACACTGAAAGAGACGCATTACGATGACTCGAATAAACATTTGAAACCTATTTCACAAACTCAGCGGTGTCTGTGATCGGAAAATATATCCGTCGCCGGGAGCTATTGCGTCTTGCTCAAATTGTGCTCATCTTTAGAAGGGTGCTGTTTTCTGAGCCTGATTTGAAGTTGCGCATGCCGAGAGGCCATCGACTTTCGATTTCTTCCTAAAGTATGAAACGGTTTACAGAGCGCTCGAACGGTCCGTGTGACGTGTCTTTCAGGATTGGGTGTTATCTTCTCTGTGTTTGGCTGAAGACGCTGGAGTGTACGGCTGTCAATCGTTGTCAGTGACGTTCTCGCTGCCGCTCGTGGCTGAACATCCAGTTGTTCAAGCTACTAGCCAAGAGGTCGCGGGTTCGAGACTCAGAAGTCTTGTGATTCGTGCACTGCTGATGATTTCCAGTAAAGATGAAACAGCTGTACAGTGCTTCTCAGTCTTCCGGCATTGATTGGCTTCACTCACAGAATGAAATCTCCACCAAAATCTCCACACACTGCCAACAGATACTTTTCCTTGAAATTAGCTCAAGAGTGGAAGATAGGTAGAGGGGTACCATTTTCAAGAATTGCGGACAATAACAGTCTGAAGAAGATGAATCTGAGGGTTGGGAGCGCCAGCAGTTATATATTCGGTTATTTCTTTTGGCAACACAAAAATGCACACTATTGAAACACTCATGGGATGATAGTTTGCTAAGTATAGGAAAATGGGATACAAGTCGAAACTTTGCATCCTCGACAAAAATCATAAGATATTTGAAGCTGAAGCATTCTTAGGACTGAGGGTTGGGTGATGAAGACAAAGTCTGTGGTCTGCGGTTAGTCACAGTTTGTAATTCAGACACAAAGCAAACACAAAACAATTTTGCATGAAGAGCTTGAGGTGAACAGTTTTTCGTCCCGTGACCGGATGCTTCCGTATGCAACGAGGAGGCTAGCTAGTCAGATTTGTGGTCGTTTGAGTCGCTCCGAATACAAAATTCAGCAGTGAAGTCGGATATGGCAGGTCGTAGTTGACAGGCAAATAAGAAGAAATTTGAATACTCATTGGCGGAGTTGATGTCACCTGCCACGGATGCTGCAGGATTCCGAAAAGGTTTTTCTCAGGCGTTACGTTCATGCTTTTCTAATTGATCAGAGACTGACCTTCCAACGAAGAGATTTGGAGTGGGAAGCCACGACTGCCCGAGCAGCAGCATGAATCGTCCACTATCTACCTGCTAACGTCTCCGGGCGTGAAAATGAATCCCGAAACATACCGGCTATATGTCTTGATTGGTTTATATAATGGACCTTGTCCACGACCATCGCTGATGACCCACCGAATGTCTCTGGATGTTGGTTTTTGGGGTTTATTAACAGCGAATATTCATGATTTATATGAATTGATATGGTCGTTGACCTTTGACACACATGTAGCCCACATACACTAGTTGTTGGCGTTTGATTAACAAACTGCTTCATTTTTGGTTTTAGGCAGTTTGACTATGTTCAAATAGTTCTAAGATGTCGTGCTCTCAAGTGACAGCTGAGTTTTCTGGAGAAAAATTTCGTCTCTTCTTCCCCCATCCATCTGCATTTGCTGTTTGGCGCGTAAGTCTATATTGTCCCAAGTCCCACCGTTGTGACCGAATACTCAATGCTTTCTTTCCAATTACAACTGTCTCCTCACCAAGCAATGCCTGTGTCTGCATAGGAGGGCATTAAGCTACCAGTTAGGCTCGGAATCGATTCTCGTCTGTTACTCAACAAATCGAACATTATCTTTCAGTCATCAGCTCACATTCAAATCTCTCCGAACCAGTTTACCATTGGCAGTTATGAGGTATGTTAAAAAGATGGATATGTTGACGTAGCCCAGCTAATACAAACGATGCACCATTTTGTGTCGGTGTGTCAACCGACTAAGTACGATTCCGGAACACAGTTGCTTTATCACAATAAAAGCACTGAAGTGGGACTAATTAGAATGGGAGCCGCCCCAGAGTAGAGGAAGAGAAATTTTTCCTTGTCGAATTTTCATACCTGAATGGGCCACCCAAAACTTATGCGAGAGTTACATTTGTTCCATCAGTAGGGAGCACCGATGGGATATGATCAACGGGGTCCCTCTGAGCAGGTAGTCCTCAGTCGGACCACCCCCTGATATAGTATGTCACAATTGAACTGCCTTCAGGTCAAATTAAATCCCTGGATAGACCTTCCATGTGTACCTGCGTTTCATGTTACTCTCGCTGGAAACATATTTCTCGCACAGTAAACACAATGGGATTCTGTTTCAGCGAAATGTCATTAGTTGAAACATGTCTTCGAGCCAGTCTGTTGTTCTCTGTCATTCACTCTCCTTCTTTTGAGCTGTTTTACTGACCCCACCACATGACTAACACCATTTGCGTTTCATCATTCGATATAAATCTCGTGGTCATACCCCATACAGTCGAACGTAATCCAACGGTAAGAGGAATGGGGTTTATCTATCAGTCATGTGCGCTAATGAACGACACAAACAAAGCTGTCTGAACCTCAGCAGTGTGTTATTTTGAGTTATCAAAATGCTGAAGTTGTACTTATCCTGGAGACGGAATCTGCTCGATAACCGGAATAAAGTGGAACTATCAACCCATGTTTCAGCGTGATCCAATGAACTTTCGTGGCACGGGTTGCACTTGCCTAGCATCGTGCAGCTCAGACTGACTTCGTGGCGCAGGCTAGTCCATTTTTCGTTCTTCACCGTGATTTAGGAGTCTGTCTATATTTGGTCTACAGGAAAATACATTTCATTGTTACACTTTATTGACCAGCGTTACCCGTTTCAGTATTTTCCCACTCATGCAATTATCGCTCGACAGGAAACCGGTACTGAGATAACTTCCAGAAGCATCATGTTTAGTTGCTGCGAAGTGACGGGTGACCTAGATGCGGTCTTTCTAAATATCCGTCCTGTGTGTGTGAGGAAGCCTAAACTGATCGCATGCTATTTGAAGCAAGTTTTAAATAGACGGCAACTATATGCACTTTCTCTCCAGGAAGGCTTAACTTACACGTTTTCGAGCTGAGCAGCCAACTGTTATTGGCCTCAAGATTGTGCTATCCAGCTGTCGAAGGTCTGTGGTCTGGGACGCACGTGTTCTATGCGCTTACCCTCAGGAAATAACCGGTTGAAGGTCTCGCGGTTTCTCGTGGTACCTCTTCAGCCGATGTGAACAACCTCGTGACGTGTTGAACCTGGGTCATTTACCCGAAATAACATCCGCGCAACTGACCTGTTCTCGAACGGTTCAGTTCACTGATACTCTTAAGCGCTCTTAGCACTGTCTAAAATCGCCAGACTAAATATTATTGAGTCAGTTCTCCAAGGTACATCTCATGGTTCTCTGATATGCACACAATCCATGGGAAAATAAAGCTGCTTGGTCAGTACCGGGAGAACGTGCAGGAGGTAAGCAACTGCTTGTGAAACAGCCCCCGATTTATGGATGAACTTCGGTCCATGTTGGATGGTAATTAATTAAAAATTGTGCTGCTGAATGGAAACCCAAATAAAATTTATCATCAAGGTCATCATGTGTTTGGTCGATAGGCGTCGTCAGTTTGTCCTGGATACAGGTTACAGAAGTTGCCTGAGGCTTTCAAATGTAAAATAGATAAGAGAAGCGTTCAGCTGTAGCACCCTTCCGGTGCCTAGCTGCCATGCCACCCGAAGGAAGCACGAGGGCTGGGATACTGCCAGGTTGTCCAAGCCTAGACAGGGGAAGTCGAGTGGCGGAGGTCGGATTCGAACCGCGGACCTTCAGGTTAGTAATCCGCGCTCTAACCACTTCGGCCATCTCGCCCCCCAAATGTAAAATATCGGTCAATAAATTGGCATACTGTGACTGTCGTTCTTTGTCGATAGGCCGAACACCACAACCTGACTGTGTGAATACAGGTGTTCACTTGGGGAGACCAAAAGTAGTCTATCCTGGCGGTTGATCATTTTTTTCAGAACCTACATAGCGTGACGTTAGGCTTCAGCGATTTTACCCGTATTTACCTCTTTTGGAGGGTGAGGCAGTTGATGCAGTACTGCTGCTTAAAGCCTCATAGGCTTGGTGCTTCCGGTCATTCCGAATTGTAACGTGAAAAACTTCACTACACTGGTCGAAATACAACTCAGTCCATCAGTCCACTTTCGATTTCTTCAATGAAGAATGGAAACATTTTGGACGTTTATTAAAATTAGAGTGAGCTGAATACCTCACCAGGTCTCACTTTACCGCCCATCAGCTATTTATTTGCAAGTAGTACGTATGGATGCAGGTCCAAGGTACATTTAACTCGCTGTACGTGATAAGGTATGTCATTTGCTTCGAACAAACCAAGATAAAATCTAACAAACCTGTATTTGATATGCTCGTTCACGCCCTCAACAAGTATCTTGTTCCGTTTGTCTCGTCCTTCATCGTTACTTCATCGATGATACTAGATACAAAAGAACAGAAATGAGGGTTATTGACGGATAGTTAGCTGGGTTTGGGCGAATTCCTGTGTTGTCAACTAGGGAATAACTTTCAGTGGCACGTTGGCCTAGTACACCGACTTTTCTTCTCAACTTTTAGCACACTCTTCGCTCTTCTACCTTCTCATCGTAGGGACACCTAGCTTAGTGGAGTAACTCGTTCAGTGCAAATGAGCAACTACTGTGAGGAACAGTCGACAGGCTTTCATATTGTATGTTAATTGCCCCTATGTACGATTTGATAGGCATGCTAATGACTCCTAGCTTAGGTAACTCGTTCAGTGCAAATGAGCAACTACTGTGAGGAACAGTCGACAGGCTTTCATATTGTATGTTAATTGCCCCTATGTACGATTTGATAGGCATGCTAATGACTGGTATTTTATGGTTGCTCGCTCCTACAGGGTCGCTCCACGTGATATTTTCTAGGCTTACAACTTTATCGACTATCAATGTGCTGCTTGTTGGGAACGGTTGAATACTCCTGTTGGGTTTTGTTCCGCTTACAGTTTCCTTCAGTAGGGAACCACAGATTACCCTGTGTTCAAACAACCTAACCTGGGGTTTTATACCGTTTTCGTTGTATGTACGGGGGCTTACCAACCTCAGCTAGATTGTCCTTTCACATGAAATATTTGAATTCCTATGCGTCAATCCTGCATGAAACTAATTTATAGCGGTGTTCTCGATCTACCTATTGTTCGTTTTCGTTCTGGGGCATTGTACCTCACGCAACATCTTCGACAATATTTTATCAATTCAAGCATCATGTATCCTCTTCGTTTCTCGGTTAGTACACCTGCTTCACGGCATCCAGAGGTTACTACGTTTATCGTGTCCTATGGGCCTCGCTATTCATATTACTGGTTGCTCTTGATTACCTCTGGATAATTGGGTTTGCCGGCGCGGGGAATGAGAACACAATCTCTGCTAGCCTTGATGCCTCCCAACTGGCTTTGACAGGTCTTTGCTTGGCCTATGTCCTCTTTGCTTGCGTTACTGCCAAATGGATGCAAATAAAACTAGAACCGAATGCTGAACGTAAGTATTCCCATTGTATTGGAACATGTTGATGTTTCGTCTTTTGGCTGTTTCTGGCTTGGTACCACTGCTGACAGTTAATAGGACTGCTTATTTACGGTTCTTTCCTATCTACCTATATAAACTGCAAAACCGTTTGGCGCATGGTTATCCTTTGCATTTCCGCCCGTCTCCAACATAAACCAAATAAAGCAAGTACGTTTTCTTGGCAGAACACACTACTCCTTAGGTTGCTGAAAACTCTGTGACAGCCCACTTCCGGTTTCAGCCTTCTTGAAGCTCATCATCTGGGCGCAAATCTCATGTTTTCGTGAACCTTAAGCTCTGTTTGGAGACCGAATTGTACGTAACTGGCGAAAGGCACTCATGTGTAAATTGCATTGGAGTTAACGAAGACTCCACTGAAGAATAGGATAAACGACAGATTCAGTTGGGTCACCCAATAACACCTATGTAATTTGCGATTAAGCGTATTTGATCATTGCCTACAATTCGATTTCCAATTAGAGCATGAGAGACCATGCAAATTTGATGAGCTTCAATGAGGACGAAATCGGCCGTCAGCTGTCGATGAATTTTCATTAACCTCAAGAAAATATACAATGACATCTCGGATATTGTGCCCACTGAAACATGAGACGGCCTTTGTTCGGCACATTCGAGTGAATAATATCATTTGAGTTTCTCGCTAACAGCAACAGAATTTGCAAATGACTGTATTTCGTCAAAGCAATTTCGTCCTTCTCGGGGGTTATGTTGTCAACTTGAGCGTCATTTTGATCCTCCGCACACTTCGCTCCTCATTCCGGAAGTCATCAAAATTAGAGTTGGAGATATCCATCTCTCAAACCTGTCTCCGTTGACACAGAACAGCTTCTATAATGATAATACAAACCGAACCAGTGAACATGTAAATGCTCTAAACAGCTCTACCAACGGATCATGAACAAATGTTCTCTGAACACAGATAGAGCTAATAGCTTTCCAGCTTTCGAATAACAGCTAGAATGAAGGAGTCACCTCAGTCGTTCACTCTTTGGGGAGACAGTTTTCAGTCATTCTTTTTTCAAGAAAGACTCGAGTTGTGTCCCTTGTTCTAGACCGGACAGATGGGGACTGAATTTGGCATGAATCTCTCGCACAAAATGACCGTTCGGTGGTCATTTTTACCTGTCTTTTCGTTTCTTGTTGCAAAAGCACGTTGATTTGTTTTTGATGACTCTTGATTTCCTATTGTCCATTTGCGTTTTCATTGTGTCAGGTTTCGTAGCTGCAGATCAGATGTCCCGATTTTCACGCTACTGGATATTTAAGGATGTTTGCACGTGCATTTTTCAACCTTTGTATCTCGATTACTGAAGTTCTACGTGAAATCCTAGCTCTTGGCGATTTCCTTTACTGCGTTCTAGCGCGCCGCTTGGATTGAACACCATAAATGAAAAAAGCAGTCAAGTCAACCGGATTTCCGTCAGAACACATTGGGGCGTGTCTGGATGTGTACCAAAAGTCCAAAGCAAACATCCAAAAAGTCTATCGGATAATTGGTGTTTCTGATTTTGAAGAATAGTTTGCCCCAGAGTTCAGAGGGTACGGCAGTGAAGCATCACTGTTGAAAAGGAAAGACGCGCGCAAGTCATAAGATAGAACTCCTTCAGCTGCAGTATGGTAATAAAATTGTGCATGCACGCGCATCTCATTCGAAGTGCCAGACAACCTCAAGTTTTGCAGCCCAGATCCGGGACATATGTCAACGAAACATCACAGTGTCTCCGAGAATTACACTCATTTGCAAATCAATTTGGTTTTCACGAGAGACTCAACTGAATCTCTCGTTTCTGACATTCTACTACGATATCTCGAATATCGTGCCAACTGAAATATGAGGCGGCCTGTGTGCAGCACATTCAGTTGTAGAATAGCATAAACGAGAGATTCAGTTGAGTCTCTCGTGTAAACCAGATTGAGTTGCAAACGAGTGTATTTCTCTCAAACAGTCCAATTAGGGTTCAAGTAGAACATAAGGTCGACGGGAAATCGGGGACTGCGTCTACCTAGTGAGTCCCAAGAAGGGTGAAACCGGTCGTGGGCTGACGAAGATTTTTCAGCAACCTCGTGAGTAGTTTCCTTCATCACAATTCAATTAGGGACTAAGATGCCAAGGTCATATTTGGTTAAGCTAAACGTTGTTTCACCACAAAGTGTCCTATTTCAATGAAGCACTAAGATGCCAAGGTCATATTTGGTCAAACTAAACAGTGCTCGGGGTGATACATCTTATATGGACAAAAAGTGGCCTAATTCTTTGGTCAGCACTGAACTATAAATCTGAAACACCATTGATTTTTTTGGGGTCTCTATCGGGGAAACATCCCTGATATCTTCACTTTTTATAAACAAACACCAATGTTTATTTTTTGTAAAGTTGCGGTCTCGAGATGTGGGTGGGCGAATTTTCCATTCAACCTATTATATGGTGATCCATTCCATCGTTTCCATTTCCCCTGTCTGTCACGTGCTTAGATATTATTGATTCCTTTGTGGGAGTCATCTGAACATTTACACGTGTTTTCTTCATGTGTTTTGCTATTCAGCATTGACAGTGCGCTTTCGCTGATTCTGTGTTCTGTTTATCGATCTTAACGTCTGTATTGGTAGGTGACTTCACATTTTCAGACTAGGACTCTTCGATTACGGAGTGCGTGGTAGCCGGGTCACCGAACTGGAAGCTTTTTCAGGATGCCACACGTGTCCTCTTGGATCTCAAACTCAGTGAATAACAGTCGCTAAAGAAGATTGCACGCTGCACAATGTGCTGTAACTTGGTTAAAACGCATCTTATATGATGGTTACGTTCCAAATTTGTTCTCTTCTCGGAAGGAAACAGTGTACAGGGGGGAGTGGAGGAACTGCGCTTTGGTTTTTGCAGAATCTCAATTCGTGGTTGTTACCAGATACGCCTGACGGACGGAAAAAAAGTGGTAGCTGCAGAGGTGTTTTGTAGATGCACTGCATCATTGCGTAGTTCAATCCACTCAAGTAAACCTGTTGGTCAGCCACAAATGAAGTTCCTATTGCTGGCGGTTCCACGTCGCACCCACAAGAAACCCATCTCGTGCTGACGTCTGCTATCTCTTACTCTTATCCCTGGTTTTTCCTTGATAAATTTAGCTCGTACTATCTACCGGGGAATGGTGCCGGGTCACTGAAACACCAAGGTAGATTATGAACATGATTGCTATTTACTTCGACGTGTGGCGGGATCCGTGACTAACCACACTCCGAAAGCGAATTGTTCAATTTTACCTACGGAAACAATGTTGTTTTATCCTTGCTTAGGCAGTACGGGTCCTGGTCGGGCTGCAACTGCTAAATTATAGACCAGTATATCTAGTCACCGTCCGATCAGGATCCATTCTTGAACCCTAACTGGGACAGGATACATGCATTACTAGACAATACGATTAGATTGTCCTGCCAAATCGGTCCCGGCTGTTCAGGAAGAATCATCCCCCAAAGGATGCCACTCCAAGTTGGTTCTTCGATTGTATTTCAATGATATAAAGATCACTTTTTCGGCCCTCGTTGTTCGTTTCCCGAGATATGGGAACTAGTCTACTATTTGGCCTGTGACAAGTGAAGTTGAGGAATATTGCAAATCCTATTGAATTTAACGGGCACGATATTGTAACTCACATGTTGCATCGTTCAAAGATAAATACCAGTCTTCTTCATTGAGCACTGATTTTGTGGTTGATCGGCAAATCACAGACATGTTGAATTTGGGGACTTACTAGCTCCTCTTTACACATTCTGCTGAGCTAGAGATAGCCCAGTCGTTAAGGTGCCAACTCACTGACCTGAAGGTCCGTGGTTCGTATCCAACCCCAGTATCTTTACTGCTCCTGTCCAGGCTTCGACATCCTGACTGCATCTTAGCTCTCATACTACCTTCGAGTGGCATGGCATCGAAAAGATGCTACGGCTGGACGACTTTGCTAAATCCTACACAACTTTAGAAACAAAAGACAGTATGCTTTTTTCACTCACATTAACTGTCCACTAGTTCCTTTGTCTATCTTTCCTTTTAGAGCTGCTGTGCTACAAATTTCCTTGGTTCCTCTACACATACTTCGTGAACTCTGTCTACGTATGCATGATTGTCTTCTGGGTTTCAAAAGGCGGTAGTTCTAGTAAGTGATCACATTTCTATGCAATACCGAGGTAGTATAATTTCTTCATAAAAAACTGACTCGTTTTTTCGCAGTTCATCTATTTGACTGGTGCACCGGTCTAGTCCAGAAGCAGCCTCACTCTGTGCGGATAACAGTTCGGCAAGGCGGCTGATTATTAGCTCTGCCAACGTGCCACCGATCCTCACAGGAGGTTCGGAGCTGCCGCGTTGTTGATTCTGACAATCTTTCTTCGGATTTCGGCGCCACTTTGTCATCGGTGTTTGAAATCACGTCTTCCATTTGAACGGCTCTGTATTGCCTTTCTTGTGCATGTGTAGGTGCGCCGATGACTTGGTTTATCACGCTGATTTTTCCGCACCTGCTCTATGTCAGATCAGCAACAAGATTTTGAATCTATCTCTGAATGATCAGTGATTTCAGAAAGGTTGCATTCAAAGGCTGCGAAACGGATAGTTCTCAATCTAGAAGACTCAGTTAACCGTATCAGATCCATGATTTCCATCAAATCTCAGCTGCGTCTCTTCTACTGATTTTCATAGCCGTTGCCTCGCAGATATGTGCAAATGAGCATTACTGCTGGATGGGTAACTACATTTCAGTCGCAAGTTGTTCAGTGCTACCGCTTCCATTTCACCTACAGCCTTGTCTGAAGAATATTGTTTATACGCATTCTAGCCGAGACGGCCAATCGGTTAATTTGCGAATTACTGACCGGAACGTCCATGGTTCGAATCCGCGCTCGACTCCTCCTGTTTATTTAGACTTGATAATCTGGGAGTATCTCAGCCCTCGTGCTTCATTCAGGTGACATGGCAACTAGGCACCGAAAGGGTGTTACAGTTGAATGACTATTCTCTTGTGTGGCTTCTATCTGCGTGACCATTTCACCTTATGTCAGTATTCTTGTTTACCAAGTTTGAGCGTCGTCTAAGTGTGGATCTTTCAAAAACGATTTTATGGCATGATTTCCTAGGGCTCTTCCGGAAAACTGCATCTCCATTTTTCCAAGCACTGCTCCACTCGAGAAACCGACCATTTAGTTAACACCTGACGCCTCACGATGGAATATCTCCATGGTAATCCATTTCACCGTCAACCGGTTGACTCACTTTAGGCAACCTACATCTATTTCATTTTGTCACGTTTTCCTGCGGACCCTTGTGCCTTAAGTTGATTGTTAGTCAATCCTGTACTATGCATGCGATATCTTTTTTGTTACTGACCCGTCTCACACGGTCATTTTGCGGTTCACTTCCATGCCCGTAGGACAAATAATTTTTAATCTAGCTCTGTCGACGCATTAACGTGTCTCTGCCTCACATGTAAATAGTTTGAGCAGTCACCTTGACAGGAGTAAAAAGATAGAACACATCCCGATGAAAGCCATTGAAAACGTTGACAGACAATTGAGGGTATGCTAACGAAGTACAAAATGTCCGGTTCCATTTCATCGTTGTTTTAGGAGAAAAAAAACTATTTAGGGGGCTACTTCAACATCCCTAGAAGTCAATATCTCGTGATAGAAACAGTGGTTTTCATTTGCTGAACCGAAGTGGAGGACGTCGACTTTCTCATCAGCTTACGCCTGATGTCTTCCGAAACCAGAAGCCGAATGAATACCATGTAGAATACTGAATCAATCACAATAAGCATTTTCTGTGGTGGAACCTGTACCATCGTCCGCCTGAATCTTGTGCAATATCACACTCGTCTGTGCAGGGTACTATGTGACGTAGATGATCTATGCCTGTTTCAATTCGGTTTGTCTTGATTACGCTCTCTGTTCTCATTGGTTAGCCGTTAAATCGTATTCCCCTCTGCTTTTTATTTTCAGCTCTTGAGCAGATGTTGAAGCAGTCCATTCCTGGATTTCTCATCCTATTTGACCTTTGTCTAACCAGTGTACCTTTCTATCTGTGTCACTTTATCTACGTCATTCTCGTCAACCTGGTCTACTTGGGTATTGCTGCTTTGAGCATGTTTCTGAGTTACGAATTCGGATTGTCCGACAAAAACTCAATAGGCCCGTCAAATCCAACGATTTGGATCGGTGGTTATGCTCTGTTCCCGAACGGATACAGCGACTTCACCAACGTGCATCGAATCTTATCTACGCTGTTTGGTAGTATGGCTCTCTCCCTGACTGTACACTGTATCCTATTGTGCGCGGTCATTGCACGTGACTTCCTTGCCAGTCTGTTTGGTCGTAGCACTGAAAGTTATCTCGGGGAGGAATTTTTGTTCGCCACTTCTGGAGATCTGTTCATTCGTGAGTCCCCGTCCACCGCATCTGTATCGTCTACTCCCCGGCAAGAGAAAGCTCCACTTTACACCGAAAACAGCGGTTACGACGGCGTTCGTGACCAAACACCCCAGTGATTTGATGACTCATTCATTGGTATCCTTACGTTAGAAGATTGTTGGAGCTTATCAGAATATGTAGTGTTTACAGGTTGTGCTCTTACGATTACCTTCATCTTATGTTAAGGGAGAGTGATTTGCCACCCTTTTTTCTCTTGCAAGCATCCCACAGACACCAAACCACCATTTTATCAAGATTACTTGTTTGCCCCTTTAATCACCGTTCTCCATCATGTCGCCCCGGTCTTCTTTTACACGGACATTTGGGTAGTTTCTCCCACACTACGGTGCTGCCTCGTGCATTGTTAACCTAAAGATGACAGTGAGTGTGATGGAATTCATTTTATAACTTCACCCGACTTTGGTGCCCATACATACAGTGAATTGATCCTCATTGTCTCCAAAACGATGTGATTGTACTCCCGCCTTCGTCTTTTCCAAGGATCATCACCGGTTCACGTCATCTCGCTCGTCGTTTGGCGCCATCAGTTTTAGGAAGCGACTGGAGAATTACTTTTAATGTTTTTTTTCCCATGATCAATCACCAAATATATTTTGGTTCAATCCTCTGCTTTCGTTCTATCCGTAACCTCCATTTATATTAGCTGGTGGAGGGGGGTTGTAAAGACCCAACGAACGGTTACAAGCGGCCAGTAGTCAATCAGCAGAGTTGTATACTTCTACCATCCATGTGAACCACTCGTATTTCTCTTGAAGATTTCGAGAATACAACGTAGAGAAACGTCTCGACAAGCATTTATCTGGGTATAGCTTACTGTGACATACTCATGGATGGAGAACGCTGTTTGGAGACAACTCCATTCGAAAGCTACGTAAAGTGGTCATTTCGTGTTGGGTATTCCGTTTTCAACTCATGTAATCGGTACCTGCCGTGGAACGGGTTTAGAAATACAGACTATATAAAATAGGATTAGTGCGACGTTTTACGGTACCGCGGACACGTCCATTGTTGCATCACTATGACAACGAACACGGTGTTTCTGTATCAGGCTTTCCTGAGAGAATATTAAACAACGCTCTTACTCCCACTTGCTGCAGATCACGTGCAATGCTTGCGCCTTCAATCCTTCCGCGACGTCGTTTTCTTTTCGATCTACCTTAGCGGTTGATTGCATTCAATATTCAAGAGAATATCGATTTTGCGTAGCTATGGAGTTTTTGTTTTATATATCGGTTCAATATGGCAACCATATTTCATAATATAAAATAAACAGCTCAACGAGACCACTAATGCTGGGAGCAAACCAAGTCCTGGTCAGAGCTTATCTTTTGAGGCTGCGGCTTAGAAGATGCTTTACGCACGTGAGACTTGTGTTCAGATGAGATGCGTCCACACGAAAATGTGAAGTACCATCGTTTGAGTTAAGGTAAGCGGCATGTCGTTGTCCCTTGGATAAAAGTAGGTCACCAGTGAGTTAAGTCGATGTGCATTCATGCTGAGCCTACTCACCCTAGTTTGTAGTCAGCATAAACGCCACAGGGATTCTCAGTCTAATATAATATGGTAAAGTCGTCTCCCTATTTGCTCGTCCTATTTTCTACGATTCCTCATTGGGTCGTATGAGTGTGTAGAAGACGAACCTTTCGTTTATTCGAACCAGGACTACCCATGGTATGATTTTGTTTTTGAGTGGGATGAGTTAGGGTAAACCGTCATCCACTTCATCCCAGACTGGTTTAATCGGTGGACAGACCAGAACAGTCAGTCTATAAAGTATGCGGAAATTTGTGCGAAGAAAATTATTGGGATAAATATACCAAGCATGCGTGCGAAAGCGTCGGGTAAAAATTGAGCCAATTTAGTCTTTTGAATTCGTGGATCTTTAATAGAGAGGAAGTACTGTTCCACGCATGGTGCCTGGACTCTTTCGAGAAATGTTGGGAAACGCTCTTAGGGCGAGCCTAGGATGTTCTCTGAAGGGTTTCTGCCATTTTTTATCAGTCTGTTCTCACTTTGCACTTCGCGAATAAAGGAGTGGACAGACTTGTCGGTTCCCTATTGAGGTTTTGCTTGGAACTGCGCACTTCAGGCTGCTGTCTCAGAGGGGCTGCTTTCATTTAAACTTGGCGTAGGGAGGCCACAATAAGACAGACTACCTTTCAAATTAACTGATCAAGCTACAACTGAATACGTCGGTCTCGGAAACGTCTTTATCTTGTCGATTTTGTTTGAACTCTCGGTCAGAAAGGAAATCTTGTCACGATTAAGCTCTTCTCCCAGTGTGGGCTTTTTCTATAAAGTTCCATTAGATCTTCTAAATCCTACCGAACTACAAGGGTGCGAACTTCAAGTTAGGCCGCAGGCTTCTACCCAAGTGTTGTAGAAACTTGCGGTTCCCACATGGGAGAGAAGAGTCGGTACTCTTATCAATTTTATGATGTGTCAGACAACGGATGGACTCTGTAGGTAGGTGTCAATCGATGTTAATTGGTTGAAATTTTCACGGAATGTCAAACACGTCCGGGTTTTTCAGTCGCTTAGTAAGCGCAGCAATACTGATGGAAAGCTAATCACTAAGTTCACGGGAAATAGTTCATACTCGTTTCCTCAGGAGGTTTTCATCGCTCGAACTATTCCGTGAAGAACGGACCGCATATTGTTCTTAGATCTGAAACGGCCGACCCACACTTGTAATGGGTATTGTTAGGTCGGAATGGAGGAGTGGACAGAGTGAAGCCGACTAGATGTCGTATTCCCTTGTTCACCGATGTTATCCTTGAATCTGGAGAGAAATCACTTTATTAGGTGAAGCCGATGCTGAAGCAGACAGTGAACATAACTACCCAAACAAGTTCGTCACTATTAGAAATAAACCCAGCCCATCCACTGACCTGATAAGCATTACTTCTGAGAAAGGAATCCTAGTTTATCCATCGTTTAGGGGTGATCACGCTGTTAACAATGTAGGATAAAACGCAAATTTGTCCTAAGCCTCAGGTTCCTAGCTGCTCAGTTAAGCTTGTGTTTCAGACCAAATTCAAGGTAATGCCGCACATTTCATCTGCCAATTATCTTGTAGTTTCAGCGGAACAACTGGAACAGTCCGACGCCTTTCTCAGTAGATTTCTGAGCACTTAACAAAAGGTTGCTAGGGTTCATACAGCTGGAAGATAACAGCTCAACAGTAAAGACACGTGATTGGGGATCCGTAAAAGAGGCCATATAGTTTGACCCTTTTGGAGCTGCGCAACCAAGCCCGGAGCTGTCTTTTTGCGAAGCTATGCTAATTGGAGCACAACAATGCGCACAAAAAGTATTGATTCAGGCCCAATGTTCACACTGAAGCCTGCTCCACCTCAACTTCTGTCATAAGACCTCACGTGACATTCGGCATTCAGTCTTTTTTGTTATTCCTCCTACTGATAAATGTGAAATGCCTTGCGTCTGCGACTAGTGAAAGCAATTTGAGAATGTTTTCTGATTAGTGTACTTTGTACATTCGGAGGCGGAAGAAAGCGAGTGACCACACCGTTTACCTCGGAAGCGTCTTGCCTTTGTCTATATATGTGATTCAGAAGTATCTTTTAGTAAGCTGCCTGGGCCTTGCAGCAGAAGAGATACTGTATTCACATTACTAACCGTGGTATGGCTTCCTGTAGATTTCAACTGCCACGACAGATCCTGTCTACGGACTTGGCAGTCGACACTGGACCACATGTCAGCCTTCCTAACACAATCGTTTCATAGCGTAACCTATTTAAACGCATTTGGCTCAAACACACGTTACGCTTGAACGCCCAGTACACCGAGCTGTCATATTTTCCACTGCTACGAAGCAACGCAACACGGAGACCCCGCAGGTGGCACAAATTTGACTTAAAATGCCTACATAAGATCCAAGGTCAGGTCAACTGCCGAATACGGGAGTTTTTAAGTGAAATAACTGCGCATTGATGAGTAACCAATTGAGTTGCATGGGCTATGTAAACGGAATGGTTGCTAACGCATCCCGAAAAGTCCTATAGAGAGCCAACTGAAGAATAAGCCCAGGGACGGTCAGTTCCTAACTTTGCTTGTCTTCAGGCAAGTTTGAAGCATCGGAGTCTCGGTTTCAGATCTTGGGAAAACCTGACACCCTATGAAGTGGCTTAGTGAACAGCTATCTGCACCTGCCTGTTGAGCTTTGAAGCACAGCTCAGTGCTCGAACGAAAGTCCGTCATTCGAAACGGCCATACGGTTCCGATAGGGCAGCGTTCACAATTCGAAGAGGGAAGTCGGAAGCCCTTGGCCGCAGGTACACTATTGGACTCCTGAAAGTAGTGAAACGGTCGACCATACGTGCAGAGGAACGCGTGATTTGGACAGATAATGCCTTCAGGGTTCCGTTTCTAGGATGTACCTTGCCAAGGCCCCATACTTCAGCTCAGCAGGTGGGGAATGTAGACAGCATTCCGACCCCCAGTGAAGAGCAGGACCTACATGCTCATCCAGTACCCAGTTAGAACACGAATCTTTGATGAGCAGTTCTCGCACTGCTTCATCCATTTCCGGCCATATTTTCTCCTCAATCCTCAAACATTTAAATGAATGCCTATTTTACAAAGGCATGTATTTTCTATACTACAACAACGACAGGAGATTTACTAAGGAATCAACATGAGGCTTCCATTCAAAGGTGACTCGGTTGCTGAACTAATCACCAGAAGGCTTAGAAACTCCGTTGATACGACATACTTGGCCGCTGATCTATGTTTGAGCTTCAACTCCAGCCCCACTATCAGATTCTGCTTGAAAGACAAATTGCCACGTTCTACCACCAGCTTTTGTGTGTACTCATTCGTATGCTCGTGCCGAGCATCATACGTTGGTCGTACGACAAGGCATTTGTCGGACAGAATACGAGAACACAATCCCGTATCTCTGAATGGTAGTGGAAAGAAACCAGGATCAAGCGCAATTGCAGCACACTTGGCCGAAACCTGTCATATCATAGACAAGGAGCAAGCCTTCACCATCATATACCGGGTACCTCTGAACGGACCACGACTGGTACGATCCAAACTACTATCGATCGCAGAGGCGATAGGAATCCGACTGCTGGATCCACAACTTTGCATCCAAAAGAAACTTGTGCGACCTCTGAACTTGAACTGGCCTACGAAACATCTGGTCCCACAAGTCTGTCTGACATTGACGTCATGACCCATTGACCTACCCCTCACCCAACCCCCTTCCTTTGACTTCTCTAAAGTGTATCCCCGATCTTAACCTTTTCCACGTGATTTCTGCTACCATATAAATTTGTGATGTATTAGCCAAGATGAACAATCACAGAAAACAAGTTTTGTTCGCTACCTTCTTCGTTCTCATGACTACAATGGGTGTATTCAGCCGCCTGAATCAACATCTCTATTCATCAACATCTTTCACAGAGCGGTCAGTATATCAGTTTGGCTTTGAACTGTGGCTGTCAGGGTCAATCTATTCATTCTTTGTCCGGTTCTTTGACTGTAGGTAGGTCACATCGTGAGTATTCACAGCTTCGGAAAGGATCTGTCAGGGTTCGAGTGGGCACAACACTTTCGCAGTCACCTTTTCCAATTGTAA